GTACAAACTGAAAACATTAAATACTTTTGTGATCTATTTCCATTTGTTATTTTCAAAAGAGAAATACTGTCATGGATGTTTACAGAGCAGAGGTCACCTTATTTTAATTCCAATGGGAGAGATGGACTTTTGTTTGTCTTTTGTTTATTATTATTTTGTGCTGTATTATTGGTTACTGTGTTATTTCTGTTTCAAAAGCCAGCAATAAATAATACTTTAATATCTAAAGAGTGTTCATGTGATTTTATACATTAGTAATGTTGGGAAATGAGGAAATGCATAATAATCGTCATAATCGTAAAACTGTGATTATTACTCAGACAATAATAGTACCAACAAAATCTATAATCATTGCATCCCTACTAGTGGTCGACCGATATTGGTTTTGTTGACAGCTGATGCTGATATCTTAGATAGATAGATAGATAGATAGATAGATGTATCAAATAAACATACTTGTACTTTAGATGACAACTTCTTGATTCTGTAATCCTATTACCGTATTTTTCACAAATAAAGTAATATTAAAAATATGTATAAATAAAAAGGAAGTAAATGACTAAATATAAATGTAAATGTAAGTAAACAGTAACCAACAGGGCACTCAGTAATCTGGGCAGTTTGTGTGCATTGGGAATCATATTTGTTTGTTGTTGTTTTTTTAAAATAAAGCCAAGGTAACACTCATTTTATGTACAGCACACAGTGAAAATGATATGAATATGACAGCGGGCAAATGGATAAAGCGAAGCATAGTTTGAAATCAATTTCCTCAGTTCAGTGACTGTTGGAGGAACTGGAGCTCTGAATGATTCATTCATCAGAGGATCAGATAAGCCGCTGTTTCGGCTCATTTCCAGTCGGAGTGACTGTCAGGCGTCTGAAAGGGAGTTTTGATTGAGTAACTTGTAGTTGTAGATCTGTGGTGCTCAAGCCGAGAACTGTTTCAGAAGATTCAGTCCGATTTGGTGAACTGGTAAAACCAAAAAGAACCGGTTCAAAAGAATGATTTGTTTGCCCAAGGCTCTGGATTACAGGTAATAATGCTGTAAATAATGCTCAGTTCTTGCACAGACCAATTGTTTCTCTTCATAAGACCTCAATATATCACGAGCCACAGGTATTAAAGGGGTTATTAACTACATTTAAAAAAAATATGTTATAATGGTCTCTGATGTTCACTTATAAAGTTAGCGTGATTTTTACATAAAAAACATCATAGTTTAGAAGTAATAGGCTATTTTCTCTCCTGTTTTTGAGCCTCTCTGCAGAACGCTCTGTTTTTATAGGTGGGGCTCATTCAAGATTCACAAGTAAACACCCACTGCTGTGATTGGCTGACAGTTTCGCTTATTAAAATAACAGATGGACGCTGCTGTGACGTTCTCTAAAAACAACATGGGTCATTTGGGTTAAAAACGTGTAAATACTCCGTATACATCAAACAGTCTGGAACTGAAAATGCAATAGTGGTCAAAGCACGTTTACATTACGACGTTACTGTTGGATCCGACATTACTGTTGACTCAGCGCTGCATCATTCTTTACTCTCAGTCTCTGTGGAAAGCCTGCGTCAATACGGTCTTGTTTAAAAATGAATGCGTAGCAAAGTAAAGCAAACAAACAAACAGTGTTTCACTGATGCCATCTGGAGCTCTTTGCTAATTTTACCATGTTTACTCCGGACATGAGCGGCGCAACGTGACTATAGACAACAGAACCCATTATAATCATGAAAACAACATGGGTCATTTGGGTTAAAAACGTGTAAATACTCCGTATACATCAAACGGTCTGGAACTGAAAATGCAATAGTGGTCAAAGCACGTTTACATTACGACGTTACTGTTGGATCCGACATTACTGTTGACTCAGCGCTGCATCATTCTTTACTCTCAGTCTCTGTGGAAAGCCTGCGTCAATACGGTCTTGTTTAAAAATGAATGCGTAGCAAAGTAAAGCAAACAAACAAACAGTGTTTCACTGATGCCATCTGGAGCTGTTTGCTAATTTTACCATGTTTACTCCGGACATGAGCGGCGCAACGTGACTATAGACAACAGAACCCATTATAATCAGTGATTCTGTCTACACTGGATGCGGCACAGATTGACACAACAAACCCTCGACAGTAGACCGATGCTCCGCTCTATTTCTGACACACAAGCATTCGCGCCGCTTCTGAGCTGAAAGAGAAACTGATTTGCGACATGACGCAACAGCGCTCGCATCCAATATGTTAGGATCACAGGGAAGGCAACTCAAAGACTGTGTTTTTTCACAGCTTACACTACACAGTGTCTTGTAATCTAGGGCCCTATGAAATCCGTTTAATTTTTTCCCAAATTCAGTTTTATTTTTTTTCCAAATTCTGTTTTTTCCATTTAAATTTTTCTGGATTCCATTTTTTTCCCCGTTTTAATTTTTCTGGACTCTTTTTTAATGGTTAAATTACATTTTATCAATCAAAAAATGTGTCTAATGTCTAGTAATTAAAATCATGAAACTTATACAATTTAACAATTTATTAAAAGTTTATCAAAAAATTGTTTAATTTTATTTTTTTTCACCTTCTGTTTTATTGGTACCAAATTCTGTTTACGCATGTCTTATTTGAATGCATAAAAACAACTTAATTTATTCATTTATTTTTTACAATAGCCTATGAAATATAGTTTTTTTCCTCCTCAGAAATTCTGTTTTGTATTTACATTTTTCTGGTTATCAAATGAAGCCATAAAACATTAATTCAATTAATCTTTTAACCAAATAAAAATTAAACAAACTTTTTTTTTTTTTGGCAAACAAAGGGGATTTACTTTTAACATTAAAACATGAAAGAAATATGATGTAATTGTTCCTTAAAAATAAAGTTTTAATCATTTTAGTAATAGTAGTAGTATTACGTACATTCTACTGAACAACAGTAAATCATGAAACTTATACAATTTAACAATTTATTAAAAGTTTATCAAAAAATTGTTTAATTTTATTTTTTCTCACCTTCTGTTTTATTGTTACCAAATTCTGTTTACGCATGTCTTATTTGAATGCATAAAAACAACTTAATTTATTCATTTATTTTTTACAATAGCCTATGAAATATAGTTTTTTTCCTCCTCAGAAATTCTGTTTTGTATTTACATTTTTCTGGTTATCAAATGAAGCCATAAAACATTAATTCAATTAATCTTTTAACCAAATAAAAATTAAACAAACTTTTTTTTTTTTTGGCAAACAAAGGGGATTTACTTTTAACATTAAAACATGAAAGAAATATGATGTAATTGTTCCTTAAAAATAAAGTTTTAATCATTTTAGTAATAGTAGTAGTATTACGTACATTCTACTGAACAATAGACAGATACTAGCCAGTATCGCGATTTGATTTAAGTGTAATGACCTACTTTTGATTAATTCACCCTAACTTTGACCAATCCTGTGACGTTCCGCGTTAAACAGTAAATTCCATTTTTATGACTGGATTCCGTGATTCTGTCCATGTTTTCCTAGGGCCCTAGTAATCCGAGGAGGAACTCTATGGTTCTGCTGATGGAGTAATCCTGTGTTTGCGTCTCTCTAGTGTTTACTCTCCTCTACTACATGTGTGTATAAAAAGGCTAAAGAGGCACTTATGT